GCCCCCGATGACGAGTCCAGTGCTAAGCCCACCGACGAACCCAGTGACGAGCCGACTGACGAACCTAGTGATGAGCCAACCGACGAGCCGACAGAAGAGCCCAGTGGTGAGCCCAGTGACGAGCCTACGGATGAACCTAGCGATGAGCCCAGCGATGAACCTACGGATGTGCCTTCGGACGAGCCGACCGACGAGCCCAGCGATGCGCCGACAGAGGCACCTACCAAGCATCCGCATACCAAGCACCCGCACACCAAGCCGCCGTGCCCTTCGTCTTCGGGCTCGCACGATGACAACTACTAAATCTCTCGGCCTCTGCGTAGCGTGCATCATCTTCATGTTGCCTAATGATACGACGTTTATGTCCTTTGATATCCAACATTGTGACATTTGATTTCCGACATTTTACCTTGGCATCCGTCTTCAATTCGCAGCGTGCATCTTCAAAGCTTTGGGACACAAAGCACCGACGAGGACGACGTCAATCGTAGATCATTATCCCACATGGGGTAGCATTTTATACTGTAGAACGCTCCAACACATTATTGTTCTAACACCACCCGAGCTCGTGGGCATCGGCGACTCTACACTGCGGTCGATACCATCGCCAGAGAAACTGCAGCACCAGGATATGCCCCCGTTCAAACGCGCCGCGCCACGCCATCGCAGAGCACCCTTCCCGTCGATGGACATGCAAGAACTGGACCACGTCGAGATGGCCAAAGGTCGCAGCACTGTCCATGGCTTCGACCGAGCAGCCTTCGTCACGGTTCTCATGCAGAAACTCGAGTACGTCCAAGTGGCCATGCGCGCACGCGGCGTGCATGGCGTCTTGCGTACAGCCTTCGTGCCTGTTGTCATGGAGGAACTGGACGACTTCGAGATGGCCGCGCGCCGCCGCGCCGTCGAGGGCATCGACAGAACAGCCTTCACGCCGTTGCTCGTGGAGGAACTGTACGACGTCGAGGTGGCCCGCGATCGCAGCCTCGTCCATCGCGTCCCGCGTGCAGCCTTCGACCCGATGGACATGCAGATATGCGACAACGTCGAGGTGACCGTTGGCCGCGGCTCTGTCCATGGCACGCGTGCTCGCGCCTTCGCCGCGGATGCGATCCAAGTACATCACGACGTCCAAGTGACCGTTGGCCGCGGCGCCGTCCAGCGCATGGACCGTCGCCGCGCACGCGGTATACTCGGTGAGGTAGGCCACGATCGCGAGATGGCCGTGCGTGGCAGCCATATCAAGCGAGGGCTGCGTCGGCGCGCAGCCATGCGCTGTGTGGAGGTACTGGACAATCTCGAGGTGCCCGTGCATGCTCGCACACGCAATGGCAGCGGGCGTGAGCAGGGACGGCGCATTGATGGCGCACCGGCGCACGATCGGCAAATTGCCCTCGCGGATCGCGACGTGGAGCACGAAGCGGTCATCGCCAATGCCGTCGATGCAGAGCGTGTCGAGCGGCCGCTTGGCGGCAAAATCCTCGCGGAAGCGCGCCGGAATCGGGCCAATCGCGTATGCAAAGGTGGTGTGGCGCAAGGCGAGGAGTCGCCACTCGGCGTAGCGCGGGCGGAGCTCGAGAAAGAGACCGTCTTGGTACGGCTGGATGAGTTGCACGAGAAGCGTCGCGTCGAGCAAGACGCGCAGCGCGACGTGGTCGCATCGGTGGCGCTTGGCGTGGCGTGCGTCTGGCATCGCGGCCATTGGCTGGTGTCACTCAACTTTTCAATGGCCTTTCCCGAAACCGTCTCATTATTGGACGTTGAAAGGGAATCTAGAAAGGCAATCTGGAAAGGCCATCTCGACGGTTTCACACGCTTGAAGGCGCGTGGTGCCGGGAGCCTTCTGGGAGCCTTGTGTGAATTCGGTGGCACGAAATTCGAAGCGTCGACGTGTGCTGTGCAAGATGTACTGTACCGCGATGGGCGGCGTTCGATATTTCGCACAGCCGTGTGCAACACTGCGGCTCGGGAGCGCTCTGGTACCGCCTGCATAAACTGATGTCGTGGATTGATGGTAGGAACCATGAGTAGGAACGGGGTGGGCGTTGGAGACGCAGTCGGCAAGTCACATGACGACGTCTCGCGGGGTGTCAGCACAACGCATGGTTGCTACTTGATCAGAGAGATGAAGTCACCGGTACTAGTGAACCCTCGCCGACGAGAACACGGATGCCGCTATCAAGGTGGTACTGAAGTGGTATTACTGTACGTATGGTCGACGCTATGATGGGTGGGCCAGTTGCAACGGCCTTAAAGAATGATGACGACAACGAGCCGATCGCCTACGGACTTGAAAGCGAGTAGCTTTGCTCTTGCCTTGCACGTTGTTAATGTACTAGCATCGCCTGTACAAGCCGAGACGTTCGTGCTTGGGCGTAGCGTCGGTCCGTTCGTGTGTGATAGTATATAACATTGCACGGCGGATCGGCCGCGCGTCGGCTGGCGATTCTTGACGAGCACCGAAAACCTCCCAAAATGCATATTTCATGCGAGATGTGCAGTTACAGTACAGTGGCAATACAGTGTACGCACTGATATCATTTCGGTGCAGCAGCGCACGTCGCCGCGGATTGGCCACGCCGCCGCCGCCTGTTTTAGCCCGCTGCAGTCAGCCCATTAGTTCATTTACCAATGGCCTGCCCACTGAACGACGATGACGTTAACGTCCAGCGCGACGCGGTCCTCGGCCACGGCGTCGACGGGACCGTCTACAAGGGTGTCTTCCGCGATCAAGTCGTGGCCGTCAAGGAGCTCCACACGCGTGGCCCCCGCGACGTCCGCCGCCTCATCGAGTACGTACTTCGGAGTCACCGGTGCTTGGAGTTGTCGCGCTGACCCGTGTTTTTAGATGCTCAAGTCCGCACGTCGTACGCATCCTGGCCCACAACGAGACACAACTTGTCCTCGAGTACATGGACATGGGCAACCTCCGCGCCCACCTCGATATGGCGTTCAAGACGTCATCCACGATCTCGTTTCTCGTCAAGCTCCAGATCGCATATGGGATCGCCCAAGCGCTCGAGTACTTTCATAGCATGGACGTGGTGCACGGCGCGATCAAGTCGGCCAACGTACTCTTGAGCACCACGAAGGGCGTCAAGCTGGCCCATGGCGGGATCGCGGGACCTCGCACCGAGGCGCTGTGGACGACGGCCGGCGCGCCGTTCTGGACGGCCCCCGAAGCGCTCGATGTGGGCGCGACGCTCCAACCGTCGGCCGACATTTACTCGCTCGGTGTCATTCTCGCCGAGCTGGATACGCTCAAGCGGCCGTATACGAACACAACGATGAACTCGTTTGCGGTGCTTAACGACGTCCGCGCCGGCACCCGCCGCCCCGAGCTCCGCGCCAACTGTGCCGAGTGGTACAAGCGCCTCACGCTGTCGTGCTTGGCGTTTGATCCGACAGCGCGTCCGTCCGCGACCGACGTGGTCCTGTGCCTGCGCAAGCAGCTCGACGATGAATCGAGTATTGCCTGAGACACGAGCGTGAGTCGTTGCATCTCGACAAAAGAAGAGGCGATTCGTTTATATAAAGTGGATAGATTAGGATGTCACATCATGTATTGTTCAATTTCTGCTCTAGCAAGCCAGAAATGCCTCGCCATAACAACCCTAACCTACCCTAACCCCACGTCCAAGCGCGGGCGGCGCCGAGGCTGTTTTGGCACCGGGCACGCACGGCCAAGTATTAAAAAATCAATGACGTACCCGTGCGTTCTAGCTCGGTAGGCTGGAAGCCACATAAAGGCTTAAATGATCCATGTATCAATGGACCAAGACGACGACGCCGTGCGGCCCGAAAGCAAATGCACTCGACGACAAAGACGATGGCTCGTCCCTACATCTGCGAATTCTTTCTGCTGCAGCATGGAGAGAATTTGAAGCACGTATCATCGGATATAGAGACAGCATGCATGCAATAGGGGGACACTCTTGACCTCGATCATCATCCATGCAGGGCCATGATGATCCAGGTCCTGGAGAAATGGCAGCAGTACTGCATACGTCGAGGCGAAGCTTCACCGCCAGGTCGGTCAACTACAGATTGCAGCGTACTAGATCGAAGAAACGTCACTTGCATCGATGCAGCAACCATAGTTCGACCAGTTAGCAAGACCATATTCAATCTATATAAAACAACGACAATATAGCTAAGACGACAATCCAAACACTTTTTTCTATGTTGTCGTGCTGGTAAAGTCCAGTAGCTCGAGCTCCAAGTCTGGCAGAAGCATGGAACCAATGTCGGTCATCGGATCCACGAGACCCAATGACGACGACGACGACGACTCGAAGGTTCCGAGCCAGTCGAGCGAGGCATGCCTACCGTGGTCCACGCACAATAACGATGCGGCGACGTCGACGACGGTGACGGGGCTACTGAGCCCGAGACTCGGGCGCGGCCACAAAGCGAGGCTTTTGGTGCCCGTTGGCGAGAGTGCAGGCCGCTCCTGCGCGTGGCGACAGCAGACGCCGCCGGTCCGCGCATGGCTCGTGCAATCGGGCACAGCACAGAGACGCCCGCCGCCGTGCCGCACGCAGCGCTGTCGTGCGTGCGCGCGTCGAAGACACCCAGCGACGCTGCAAGGCTTTCGTCGCGCGCCTGTTGCTGGCTCGATCGTTGGGAGCACGGTCGGCGTCGGTGGCAGTCGCGGTGGCGGCGTCACGGGAGCAGAACGATATCATTGTTGTTGTTG